CCTAGAATGTGGCAATTTCCCCCCTAGGCGCCCGCCTAGGCGTCCGCCTAGCGCCTAACTCGGCCGACTTGGCCGCCTAGCGTCTAACTTAGCCGAAATAACTCGTCCATTTCGGTCGAGTTAACCCGATCAGCTTGGCCTTGCTAAATTTTTTTCTATATATATATATATATATATATATATATATATATATATATATATATGGATGCACTCAGGTGCAAATAAGTGCTCAGGAGGGAAATGCGAACGAATCAGCGCGCGACACGTGTCCAGATCTAATAACTTAAAAAAAAACGCGGTGGCATTTTCGTAAATAATTGAACATCGAAGTGCAAGTAAAATCACTTACAAGTGCATCTACTTTCACCTATAAGTGCATGTAATTTTGCCTTGTTAGCATTCACTTTCTGCAAACATTCATGCACCTGGGTGTGCTTATAACTATATGTGCAACTATTTATAACTATAGGTGCAACTACTTATAACTATAGGTGCACCTACTTTCACCTATAAGTGCATGTAATTTTGCCTTGTTAGCATTCACTTTCCGCAAACATTCATGCACCTGGGTGTGCTTATAACTATATGTGCAACTATTTATAACTATAGGTGCAACTACTTATAACTATAAGTGCATGTAATTTCACCTATAAGTGCATGTAATTTTGCTTTGTTAACATTCATTGATCTGAGTTCAGCGGGTAGTAATACCCCTGAAAACCACTCGCAAACATTCATACACCTAGGTGCAACTACTTATAACTATGTGTGTAACTACTTAGAACTATAGGTGCAACTACTTATAACTATAGGTGCAACTAAGTATTGATGTTCAGTGTAAATTTTTACTTGCAAAGATAATACATTTTACATGCACTTGTAATACATTTTACTTGCACTTCGATGTTCAATTATTTACGAAAATACCACCGCGTTTTTTTTTAAAAATCAGTGTTTCTCATCCATTAGATCTGGACACGTGGACGGACAGAATCTATTCCTATTTCGCGCATGGGCGAAGCATTCGCACCTGAGTGCAATTATATATATATATATATATATATATATATATTTATTTATTTATTTATTTATATATTTATTTATTTATATATATGTGTGTGTGTACATATATATACTATGACATATATACACCCGTAGACTAGTTTGATACTTTGAATCTTTGGATAATTGAAGTATTTGAGTATTTTAAATTTTTTATATTGTTTTGAAGTTATGACTTATGAATTATAATTATTTCATTTATTTGGATGTGATATTTGATTGAATGTTGAACACAACCTCATTAAAATTGTCAAACTGCAAGTCTGCCACTGTTTTTTTTGGCACCCGCCTAAAGGCGCCTAGATTCCGCCGAGGCCGCTTAGGCGCTGCCCGGGCGCCCGACTAGCGCCTAGCGCCTACTGCAACCTTGCAAATAAGCCATCGAACTATTAGTGTTTGTGTAATTGGGTTATCAAATTAAAAAAAAATGTATAATTAAACTATTTAACTCTATAAATCTGTGCAGATAGAATTTTTAGCAGGTTACTTTCAAGTTAAGTATGTAAAATAAATGATATGACATCTTATATGGTAATTTTTAATATTTAAATCAATTTATTATGAGTTTAATATTTAACTCCTTATTTTGCTCCATTATTTCTCACAGAAAATTTTTTCAACCTCTACTCACACTATCCTTAGTTTCACAATCAATCACTTCTAAATGCTACTGTTTTTCCACATTCATCATACCAAAAGAAACAAACCACTATCATACATCCAAATCGCGTGCTTAAAAATTCAACAGGAAATAATAATATAATATGGAGACACAATATAATGCTTGCAGAACATATGTGATGTTTGTGTGTGGACTGAGTTTTATTATGTGTAGTTGAGCATCGATCATCCTTGCATGTATAGAGCCAATACCTTTGATGGCCTCTCGAGTTGCAGGCATCACTAGTCCATCGAATCAAAGTCCAAGGCTATTGGGGAGTACAAAATCACATGTGTATGTTCTGTTGAACCTTGAATGTGAGAGGAGAAGAGACGGGCAATTTTGCGGAATGCAATAAAATGAGAGAGAGGGGAGTGGAGCCCATTCGTCCATGTGAGTGCACGATTGCAAGTTGCCTTGATTGTACTGTACAGAGGTTATCCCCGAGCGTTCGAGGAGAACCTAGTCATTTTTTCAACCATGAAATTTATAAAGTTAAATGATTTAATTGCACACTTTTTTGTTTAATGATCCAATTACACAAACACTAATAATTCGATGGTCTATTTGACGCTTAAAAAAAAAAAAAAAAAAAAAAAAAAAAACGCAAGAAGGGTTATCTTCTTTCTACTATTTGGCCACACTCCCAATACTCTCTCACACTGTCCAAAAAATTGTTGGTGATAATGAACCAAAATCGATTTAATATCCGTAAAATAATATTTATATATATACACACGAAATATATATATAATATTATTGGATATATATTCGAAATATATATATATACACACAAATATATATATAAAATGGACCCAACGGTTATATATACATGTATATCTACGAAAAAGATATACCAATATATATCAACCAAAAGAAAATATAATCCTTAGATTATAATTTCAAAACGACAAGAAAGAACGGATTTTTGCTTAAAAGCATAATCCAAACGAGAAAGAAGGAGAAGGAAGAAAGAAATGTACAAGTTAGGCAAAGTGCCTGTCTTTCCTTAAAACCTTATTTGCCACCTCCCAAAAGTGCTAGGAGCGTTGTGGCCTAGGTTTCCCAGGATAAAACGTACAACGGTTCGACGTTTGAGCACCCAAACGAACGAACCCGGCGAACAAGAGCACGGGCAAAACACAGCTTCAAGAATGGAGTAGGAGCAGAATTTTGAGAGGAAAAGAGAATTTCTTTGTGTGTGTTCTTGTGTTGTTTCTCACTTTCTTTCTAACATTGTGTTCAAAAAGGTTGCTCCCACCACATCTTTATATAGGAGATTGGTACTAAATAGCATCATCATGACACATTAACCAACATAAATTCAATTTAAAAATTGAATTATAACGTTTGAAACGGTCGTTCTTATTATCGAAATAATATCAACGGTCACGAACTTAATATCCGATTAATTCGTACCGACCATAACGACCAGTTTCAAAAATATCTGAGTGACCGAGAAGTCCGTACAAACCCGAAAGTTTGACAAATTGGGACCGGAAACCACACCCGAGTGGTTCGCAAGCACCGAAATGGTGCAGCACGAAATGAGCTCACGAAAGGAGCTCATTTCTCCCAAACACGAAACTGTGATCAAAAGCACGAAATTTGTGCTTTAAATCCCAAATTCCACTTTAAGCTTTTCCCAAAGCTTAATCTCTCGTGCTTAGTTGATTAAGCATTTCAAAGCTTAATTAATCCATTTAATCTTACATAACTAAATGAACTTTCGTGCTACACCTTTCGTCAATGCATCATTAAGCCAGAAAGGTGCATCCCAAATCCAAAACTTTATATTTACGCTTTCAAAGCTTAATCCCCTTAAGCTTACACCACCAACTTTCGTGCAGTGCAACGAAAGTTATTAGAATGCTAATTTTAATTAGCATCTAAACATAAGTTTTTTGACTTCTCTCAAATAGGTTCACTTTGAGAATCAATTTCTCATTCACCTATTACTCATTTTGAGCGTACATTATATCAAATTCTTCGTCTCACTACGAAGAACCCGAATCCACATTGACCCGACCCAAATCGGAAGTGGATCCCACATATATTTGTACCACAAAATAAGCACTCAAAATATCATTTTAATGCTATTTTTCCAACAAAAATAACCCCCTCCCTCTCTTTGGCTATGGACCTTTGTCAATGACTTCCAATCAAAGCCTAATCATAATTTTACATGTACTTTTATAAAAAATAATCGAGTGAATTCCATTTTTGGTCCTATTGTTATAGAGGCTTTTCCAATTTTAGTTCACCATAATTATTTTTGCCACATTGCGTCCACTATTATTAAAAATGTTCCAATTTTAGTCCACTTTAAGAAGTTTTGTGGATTAAAATTGGAACACTTTTAATAATAGTGGACGCAATGTGGAAAAAATAATTATGGTAGACTAAAATTGGAATGACCCCTATAACAGTATGACCAAAAATGAAATTCACTCAAAATAATTTTACATGTACTATTGCATGAAATAGTGAATCGTTGGTTTGGCTTATAATAAGTGTTTATTTGTGCTATTTTGTTATGCATATTTTAGTGCATGAATAGATCAATTATGTGCTTTAAATGTAGATATTATGCTTAAAAGGGAAAGGATATTCATATGCTCTATTTGTTCAATGAGATACAATTTCTCTTATTTAAGCAAGAAAGATCGAATTGCATATGTTTTGGATGGGAGCTCAATTGGATGTTAGTTCTAAAATCATCTTTAATTTGACACAAATGATGGATTTTAATTTTTAGGTCTCTCTCGTTTAATTGCCGTTTTCAAATTTTAACTTTGAGACTTTCTGTCTTCTCTCTCCAAGCCAAATTTATTGTTTTTCACGAGGTCACAATCACAAAATTAGAATGTAGCATAAAGAAGCCATTACAATGCAAGTAAAAAATAAATAGCTAAAATCTGTAAGCTCTTCAGGGGATTGACCAAGTGTAATGCAAATACATTCTATTCCACGGAAACATGAGATGCCAAAAGTAGAACATTCGTTGGAAAAGAGAAAAAACATTCCTAAAACTATGACAAAGTAACCATATGCTAAACCAAGTCCAGCTCATAATCTGTATGGACATTAATAGGGCAAAGTTGTCTTTTCCTTTGTTTGTCTGTTATTACTGTGGACCGTTATTACTGTGGACCATGGTCTTCTTTAAGTAGCAGCCATCACCTTCTGTTTCCTTCTTGATACTTCTTCTTCAATCAATAATGAGAGTGTTCTGCTTCATTCTTAGCTCAACATAGCATGCACTTTACTTTCCATCATGGTATCAGAGCGACGCCATAGCTACGCCACCGCAGTGATTGGAAGTAATGGAGCCGGCGGAGAAGCTTCAACCGGACCAATTCCGAATCCAGCGAATCAAATTCCAGTTTGCCAAACTCCAGTTAGCCAAAATCCAGCTCAACGGAGTGATGAATTTGACGATCCGTTGTATGTGCACATCACCGAGAATCCGAACCTGATTCTCGTGTCTCCTCCCTTGTCCGAGCACAATTATGCTTCATGGAGTAGGTCTATGAAGATAGCCCTAGAAGTTAAGAACAAATTAGGATTTGCAACAGGATCAATTCCGGATCCAGGTGAAGCTGATCCGAGACATCTCGTCTGGAGAAGATGCAATACCATTGTCTGCTCATGGTTACTGAAGTCTATTAGTTCAAATATTGCTGAAACAGTGATGTATTATGAAGTGGCTGCTGATATTTGGAAAGCACTCAAGAGGAGATACTCGCAAGCTGATCCTCATAGGATTGCAGAACTACAGAATCAAATTTATAGAAATACACAAGGTAATTTGACTGTCAATGAGTACTTTACAAAGTGTAGTGCATTATGGGAAAAATTGAATGCTATGAGACCTTTGTTGGTGTGTGAATGCTCCCTTAGATGCACTTGTAACCTCCTGAGCAAGATGCAGAAAGAGAGAGCAGATAACCAGGTCATCAGGTTCTTAGATGGACTCAGTGATGACTTTGAGACTATAAAGTCAGGGGTACTAGTTATGGATCCCATTCCTGATATGGAGAAGGTCCTTAACATGGCTTTGAAACTTGAGAGGAAGCTAAATGGATCCATTGTGCAGAGGAACAGTGACTTGGTCCAGTCTAATGCTGTTCAGAATATTGGGACTCAAATCTCAGATGAACAGGCTTTTGTAGCAGCTACAGAAGCAAATAATAAGAGGAAGTTTAACAGTAGTGGAGGAAGAAATGTACCTAAGTGCACATATTGTGGTATGAATGGGCATACTGTTGAGAAATGCTACAAAAAACATGGATATCCCCCTGGATGGATACCTGGTTATAAAGCTAGAAATAGACAAAGTCAAGAAGCTCAGCAGTCTGCAAACTCTTTGGCTCAGCAGTCTGCAAACTCTTTCACAAGCCAAAGTGCTGATCTAGGCTTGACAACTGATCAATTTCAAAGGTTGATGAATTTTATGCAAAATCAAAATCAGGGAATCCAGGCTTCAACTAGCTCTGCTGTAAGAGTGAGCAGCTCAGGGATGAAGTCTGCTCCTAAAAACCCTCCTGATGATTCATGTGAAGGTAGCTTTATTCTCAACTCTTTTGTTAATAATGCTATCTCTCCTAGAATTTGGATTGTTGACTCAGGGGCCACAGATCATATCATCTGTTCCCTAGAGTACTTTGAGAAATGCGAACCAGTGCATGCTGTTTTTGTGAAGTTGCCCAATGGGGAAACTGTAAATGTCAGTTATATTGGGGAAATCAGATTGCATCAGGGTATATTGTTGACAAAGGTTCTGTGTATTCCCTCATTTACTTTCAACATTATTTCTGCTAGTAAACTGACAAAAGAAACACCATGTACAATCATTATGGATGTTAATTCATGCACTATTCAGGGTCTCCATGGGACAGTGTGTGGTTTTGCTAGAGAAAGGGATGGATTATACCTGCTGACTCACCCTCCAATCAGAAGAAAGCTCCATTGTGAGAATAAAAAAGTTGACATTCACTGTAATGGTATATCTTTACAATTGTGGCATGATAGATTAGGTCATTATCCTATAAATAAAGTACATCTTTTAGATGGAATAAAGCATGACCAATCTTCTAAGCCATGTAATCTTGCTTGTGATGCTTGTCATTTTGCCAAACACAAGAGATCAGTTTTTCCTATTAGTCATTCTAGGGCTGATAGATTGGTGAGCTGTCGTAGGCTCCCAAATTAAAACCTTACAAACGTAGTAGCGGGAGTAAGGATCGATCCCACGAGGAGTAACTAGTTTAACTTTTGTGCTCAAGGAAATAATGGGGGGTTTGGAATATATCGAGAATAAATATTAAATAAAAGAGAAATTAAATAAACGAGAAATTTAATCGAACGAATAAACAGTGAAAATAATATATCGAAAACACTTATAATAAGAAACCTTGGTTAGTAAAGATCCACCACCGGAATTTAACACTGATCATTGATTAATAAAGTAATTAATATGCAATTGAATATTTGTCGTGAAATTATTTCATTTCTGTTTTCCCTTAGTTGTAGGTAAATAAAGCACACGCGGTTTAATTACCCCTAACTACTAAATAACCTAAGACAAGCGCTATAGATTTAATTTAATAGCAGCAATAGGAACTAGGAAAACCGACAAACTAAATAACACAAGCACAAGCGGTTGCATTTAATTTAGGAAAATATTCTACCCGAGTCCAATTATCACTAAGCCGTCAATAATTAACCCAGTTGCTACTGAATATTAGAGTAATTTGTAGCACAACATTATCTAATATAGCAAATAATTATATCAAATAAATAACTAGTAGGCCTCCCTAGCAATTAAATGACACAATTATTTCAAATAACTTAGAAGAATATTTAATACTCAAATGCATAGAAACATATATAATAAAAATAAATAAATAACCTTACAGCGTAATGAACTCCGGGGCTTCAATTCACTAAACCAAACAAGAAATTAGCCGCGAATGGACATTGATAACAACCTTAAAGAATATTCGAGAGGGGAAGGATGAATATTTTAAAATAGAAATCTTCCACTATTTATACACTTTCCAAAACGAACCTAAGTTATTTTCTACCACTGATTCCCTATTTTTGTGCCATATGTTGAAACTTTCTACTGCTGCCTCGCCATAATCTGCGGACCTATTGATGAAGCTTTCTTTTGGCACACAACTGTACAAAGCTTATTATAATATATATAATACATAGTACGTAGTACGTATTTATATATTATATATTATATATATTATATATTATATATTATATAAGAACATATTATATATATTATATATATAAAAAAAACTAATTATTAGATAATATTAAATAATTAATGAAAAATTATTATAAATATGTACCTAAAATATGAGTGTAAAATGTGCATATCAAATTCCCCCACACTAAGACATTTGCTTGTCCCCAAGCAAAAAATGTTATTTGCGAAGTAAAAAGAAATGAAATTCCCAAAACTCATAACATATCATGAACAACAATCTGAAGCACCCTGTAATTAATAAGTTAGCACCCTGTTTGAAAATGGAGAAAACTAAATAAGTAAGCCCTCACAGGAATATCACTCATCACTCAAGTGTTTGATGGGTATAAATTTCACTCAAGTTCATTCCTATAAAATTGATCTACCATAGGCTTGCATATCTTCTCAATCACCACTACAAGAGTCATGCATGACACAAATCATAAGGACTTTTCACAGGTTGTAATGGGGCTAGGGTTAAGGTAGGGAATTTTTAGGAAATTAGCTTAAACAAAAGCTTCAAACTAGAGGAACAAATAAATACAAGTAATCCAACACCCTCAATTTCCAATCAAAAAAACACATCCCATTGAGGTACAGAATGCTTCCTCAGTATTACCAGAATTTCCCCTTACTTCATTTATTTAGAAGTAACTTCAACTCAAAATCAATTGCTGATTCTTTTTCATTTTCTCATAAATTTTCAGCAATATTCTTCTTTTTCAAACGTATATTCTTCATTTTTCCATTTCATTTTTTTTTCAATTTTTCATGCTTTTTTTTTTTTTTTTTTTTGAATCGCTCGTGAACTGCTTCCTCTTTTCTTTTTTCATAGAAGACCAACGACATATTGGCAACGAAGATACAACTCTCCTCACTCTCAATCATATTAATAAGAGTAAGTGATCTCCCCCACACTTATCCTTCCCAACCTCACGTAGATTACAAAAATAATCCAAAATTTGCTCCACTAGTTATTTAGCTGGGTGAAGGCATTATTTTAGATATAAAAGGCTTGTAATGTGGTCCAAAATAAAGAAAGGAATGGCCATAAAGCTCAAAGTGGTTAACAAAGGGAAATAAATCATAGGACAAACCGGTTATTTGGCTAGTGAGGCTCAAAGTCAAATAATGGCCTTAATCACATTTGAATTATGCATGGTCTAATTAGCTTTAAAAGAGAATCAAGGCAAGTTCTAGAGAAACAAAATTATGGAAGAAATCACACAAAAGAAAGAAAATAAGACCGAAGTGTCAGTCAGTGGCTCAAAACACTCACAGGTTTATTGCTTACTCAATATAGCCACTACATATCAAACAAGAGATGCTAACAAACTAATCACAACTTGCCAAACTATTTATTCAATCATGTTATGCATTCCAAGAAAGAAAAAAATATTATTTTTCAAAATAATACTTATTTTGCATAAAATAATAGTAAAATATTTTTTGAAAATTATGAAATAAGAAAAATAAATAATAAATTTTTTTTTTTGACATAAGCAAACAAACAATAAAACTAAATTAATCAAACAAACAATAAAACTAAATTAAGCAGAGAAATAATAAAACTAAAACTAAATCTCCTCCTCCCACACTTATTACCAACATTGTCCCCAATGTTGAATAAAAACATGCAGAAAAGGATTATTAAATGAAAAATAACGATTAAGAAAAAGAGAATAGAACAAACTCCCCTTCTAGTTGTGCATATTATTCAAAGTAGCTGGGATCTTCAAGAAGTATATCGACAATATAATCAACTTGAGCCCCTTCATGGTAGGGTTTAAGCTGATGACCATTCACCTTGAATATCTTAGAAGTCTGTAAACTTTGAATCTCTATCGCACCATGAGGAAAAATGTTAGTGATAATAAATGGACCAACCCATCGAGAACGTAACTTACCTGGGAATAGCCGAAGACGTGACTGGAAGAGTAGGACTTTTTGTCCAATTGAAAATTCCTTTCTCAAAAGCATCTTGTCATGAAATGCTTTTGTCTTTTCTTTATAGATTCTTGAATTCTCGTAGGCCTCATTGCGAATCTCCTCCAACTCAGAAAGTTGCAACTTCCGGTGTAGGCCACTTTCATCAATGTTCATATTAAAGCTCTTGACAGCCCAATAAGCTTTGTGTTCCAACTCGACGGGGAGGTGACAAGCTTTCCCAAACACAATGCGATAAGGGGACATACCAATAGGTGTTTTGTATGCGGTTCTGTACGCCCATAATGCATCATCTAATCGCAAACTCCAATCCTTCCTGTTTGGGTTGACTGTTTTCTCAAGGATTGACTTTACTTCTCGGTTGGATACCTCTGCTTGCCCGTTAGTCTGCGGGTGGTAGGCAGTTGACACCTTATGGGTGACATGATACTTTTTAAGCAAAGCTTCGATGGTGCGATTACAAAAGTGAGTACCCTGATCACTTATTATAGCCCTTGGAATGCCAAACCTGGAAAAGATGTTAGATTTGATAAAATCTGCAACAACTTTAGAATCATCAGTCCTGGTGGCTTTAGCTTCCACCCACTTTGAAACATAATCAACAGCAAGTAAAATATAAACAAAACCAAAAGATACAGGAAATGGGCCCATAAAATCAATGCCCCAAACATCAAAGACCTCACAAAATAGGACCGGAGTTTGTGGCATTTCATTTCTCCGGGATAAATTACCTGACTTTTGGCAAGCATCACAACACTTGACAAATGAGTATGAATCTTTAAACAAAGTTGGCCAATAAAATCCAGACTCCAATACCTTCCTTGCTGTTCTCTTAGCACCAAAGTGGCCTCCACAAGCATAATAATGACAAAAGGTAAGGATTGAAGCAATTTCATCATCAGGTACACACCGCCTTACCACTTGGTCAGCACAATGTTTCCAGAGGTACGGTTCATCCCATACATAGTACTTGGCATTACTCCTGATTTTATCTTTTTGTGCCTTAGAGGAATCAAAAGGAAACTTGTTAGCAACCAAAAAGTTGACTATGTTAGCATACCAAGGTAAAACCACAGTTGCAGCCAATAGGTGCTCATCAGGGAATGCTTCTCGCAGTGGAGGTTCAGTTCAATGTGTACCAACCGACTCAAATGATCGGCCACAAGATTTTCTGACCCCTTCTTATCTTTGATCTCCACATCAAACTCACTTAAGAGGAGTATCCATCTTATTAATCGTGGTTTGGCTTCCTTCTTTTGCATCAAGTAGCGAAGAGCTGCATGGTCAGAATAAACAATAACTTTTGTGCCCAGCAAATAAGACCTAAATTTTTCTAAAGAAAAAACAATGGCTAAAAGTTCTTTTTCTATAGTAGAATAGTTTTTCTGAGCATCATTTAAAGTCCTAGAAGCATAATAAATAACATGGGATGATTTCCCGATCTTTTGGCCCAACACAGCCCCTACTGCGTGATCACTTGCATCACACATAATCTCAAATGGGTAGTTCCAGTTAGGTGGCTGAATGATCGGCGCAGACGTCAACAACTCCTTCAATTCGTCAAATGCTCCCTTACACTTTTTGTCAAACTCAAAGGATGTCTCTTTCTGCAACAATTTGCATAAAGGTAGTGCTATTTTCGAGAAGTCTTTGATAAACCTTCGGTAAAAACCTGAATGTCCAAGAAAAGAGCGGACTTCCCGCACAGTAGTAGGATAAGGCAGAGACTCTATAATATCAACTTTGGCTTTATCAACCTCAATCCCACTAGATGAAATAACATGCCCCAAAACATTACCTTGATTAACCATAAAATGACATTTTTCA